TCTCCTTATTACAGTCACTTTTAAGTATTTTAAATAGAGCCACCTGGGGAAGGCATCCCAGTTCATGGATATGAAGAAGTTTAGCCATTCATTACCACATGCAGTGTGTTAACCTCACAGGGGCACTCTGGGCATATCAGAAACAGTCACCACTGTCCAAGTGTGCATTCAGGAAACAAAGTCTCCAGAAGCGGAAGTTCTCACCCTTTTGGGGGTTGAGATATGAACCCAATTGTAAAGGTGATGACACTCTTTGGAGAAAACTAGCAGACTATGTCCGTCCTTCCATAAATATCTTGATTGCCTTGGGAGACTATGGCCACTGAGGCTGGGAAGAGAGCCTGCTGTCCCATGTAGGTGCTCACCTCTGCACCTGGCCAGGCATTTTCTGTCTAAAACTAGGCCATCAATTTTAGAACCTCTTTGGTTATGAAATATTTTTTTATTTACTGATCTGAAAATATGCTTCCTTCTAGAGGAGCAGTTTCTGATTTTTTTGAAGTTTTTTTTAATTTATAAACTTTACATATTTTGCTTTCATTCACTCATCAAATAATTATTCATCCTCTTTACTAGGCACTGATGAATAATATACATACATTGATGAATAAAACATCCACAGTCCTTTCTTTTAGGGAATTTACACATATAAATACATAATTCTACAAAGATTAAACATATAAGTATACAAAGTCTCAATCAAACATAATTGTACAAGGATTTATAATGACAATTAGTAAGAAGTATGAGGAAAATATATATAATATGGGCAGGGCTATTCTGATCTGAGGAGAGGGATAGAAAGCTTTCCTGGGGAAATGACATTTAAGTTTGGGCTTGAAGTATTATTTGGAAGGCGCCAAAAAGATGTCAGAGTGGGAGAAGCGGCCATAATGTATGTCCGAAGGAATATTAAAGGAAGTGGGAGGATAAGTCTTGACTGAAAAGCCAGAGGGAGAGTCCTGTGAGAAGAGATGGGAGTCACAGCAATGAGGGCAGCATCATCCCCAGGGCTTTGTAATCAGTGTTGAGGATGTTGGATTTCCTCTTAAGAAAAACGGGAAGGATTGGAAGAGTTTTAAACTTGAAAGTGACTCAAATACATCTGTGTTTTCCACCAATCTTTCAGGCTGGCTGTTCTGTGGAGAATGGATAGTAGGGAAGCAACATTGGAGACAGAGTGACCTTTTAGGGGATGAATGTGCCTGGAATTCAGAAAATGGAAATGGATTTGGAGATAAATAGATTCTTGAAACATTTAGAAATAGAATTGATAAAATTTGGTGATTGACTAAAGAACCCTTATAAACCCAGGGTGCAATGTGGTCTGCTTTCAGTGCAGTATTAGGTTAAAATAATAATTATTTTGGAAGAAAAATATAACTGGAAGCATTTCAGAGATTTACTCAGGCTCCTGAGGAAATGGCAAATATATTCATGGTATTATTTTTAATGCACAATAAATCTTCTTTAAGAGTCCTCTTTTGCTATCTCTCACTCTCTATGGCTTTCACACACGTAGGAAGAAGCTTAAAAACAAAACTCGCTCTTGCCGCTCATTCCTTTTATGTGTGTTCTCAGAGGTCCCCCAGCATCTATCTGAAAAGGCTTCTCATTGTAGCCCTGCTCTTCATGATCAGGCCTGACAGCCTCTGTGGAGTGCCTTGCGAGAGTCAATTGTTAAATTTCCAGGAATTTTAAACATGGTCTTTATTAAAAATTAAATCATATATTCTGTTTCAGAGAGAAGTGTGTGTGTGTGTGTGTGTGTGTGTGATTAACCAAAGAATTTATATGCATATATGCATAACCCATGGATGGGCAATAGTTTGGTGAAGGCCTGGAGAAGGAGTGGGAACAGAGTGGAGGGGACTGATAAGGGAAAAGGGGGACATCTGTAATACTTTCAACAATAAAGATAAAGTAAAAAAAAGATAAATCATTTAAATGTACAATTAAATACATTACATTTAAAACATTGAACATTTGCCCAGGGCAGTGCTCAATGGTTAGAGCTTTGGTCTGTGCACTGAAGGGTCTCAGATTTGATTCCAGGTCAAGGGCACATACCTGGGTTGCAGGTTCGATCCCTGTTTCAATTGGCGCCCCTTTGGAAGGCAACAAATTCATGTGTCTCTCACATCGATGTTTCTCTTTCTCTCTCTCTCTTTCTCCCCCCAAACTTCCACTTTTTCTAAAAACCAATGGAAAAAACATCCTTGGGTAAGGATTAACAAAATAAAAAACAAACAAAAAAATCTGAACATTTACCACCACATCCAGGATTTAAACATGGTCTTTATTAAAAATTAAATGGTATAAATGCACAACTAAATACATTACATTAAAACATTAAATGAACACGTAATGAACACTTATCACCATATCACTGTCTATGAGGCAACTGGATAAGTGGGTCTGGGCTCCGGAGACAAATCTGGGATGGAGATGCTGTAGTGGGAGTTAGAACATAGATTTGGGGCAGCTTCATGGACTAGCGACAGGTGCCTCCATATAGAAGGAAGAGGTGCTAGGTTTAATGCTCTGCCTTTGCCTTCTTAAAATTATTAATTTTCAAACAATGTGTTTTCATTTTGCACTGGGCTGATCTAGGTGCCATCCATCCCTCAGAAAACTATTCTGTCTCATTCACCTACTTGACGGCACTTATGCAAATATTCCCCATTGGTTCCCTCAACACACATATTCTTCCCAACCAGCTCACAAAATTTCCTTCTATTATCCCTCTGTAATGCTCCCTTCTCTTTGCTCTTCTTTGGAATATTGTTAACTTGCAAGGCATTAACATGTTAAGTAGCTTTCAATACCAATGTTTCTGCCCAGATTGCAATGTTCCACATGCTCACCTTTCAGTTTGGTATTATGTGGTGGTGCAGGTGGTTCTGGAATCAGAGGACTGGGTTTGAATTTTTGCTGTGACCTGAGGTAAGTTTCTTTGGTTTCTCTACATCTCAATTTCCTCGTTGGAGAAAAGAATAGTATTTACCTCTGAAGGTTATCGAGAACACTGAATTAGGTAATCTACGTAAAGTGCCTAATAATGCCTGGCACATGATAAGTGTTCAGTTAATGGAAGTTATTATAAAGATTATTTTATTCATATATGATGACTTAGGAACACCCAATAATCAATTTTGCACATGACACATAGTAGCCAGGTCGTAGGAGGAATAAATGGAACCCTGACATTGATGAGCTGGAAGATTCATTTTTTTAAAACGATTTTCCTGATCCCACAATGTGTTTGCCCCAGAGAGAACTTCATATTCTCAAAGCGCCTTGTTCTTCCCTATCTCACCCATACACGGATCTAACCTCCACAACAGCATGCGTGTGGGCCCTTGGGCAGTGTTGGCTGCTCCAGGACAAGAATGGATTGGCAAAGTGTACCTGCCCACGAATTGCTCCCAGCTGCAGGCAGCTCCCGGGTCCATCACTAGCAAGTTGCATGCATTGAAGACTCCTTTCCTCAATTGTCTCTGGCCTCTATGACTGGGTCCACTTGAAAGAGTACCTGGACCCAGGCACATTTGAGGAAGAGCTGCTCCTTTATCTCTGCTTTCTGGACAACACGCTGATCTTGTCCCCTGACAAGGCTAACATGTGTAAGGAGCCTGGCTGGCTCCCCCCGCCTTTTCAGATAAACCCCTCCGCCTAAAAGTGGCCATGCACGGGTTCTCTCAGGCACTAGCGGACCGGAAGCAGGATTGGATTAGACAAGCAACTGGAGGATGCACTGAAGGAAGAAGTGCTCTCCCTCTCAGCAGCTTCAGCTCCTCCTCCTCCTCCTTATGCTTTAACACCTGTCAGTTTTTAGGACTTGCTTCTTTTTACTCTTTGCTAGCCACTGTGTGTGGGTAAAATGTAGCCATGCAGCCTTTCTCAGCATAAAGCTATGCATGTCGTAGGCACTCAAATACCGCAGGTTATCCTCTTCAACACCTGTTTCCCCAACTCCTACCTAGCACAGTGCCTGGCAAGGTAGGCGTGCACTTACCTGATGCCACCAGGCCTCCCTTCAGCCCCCAACCTCTCTACTACTCTCCTGCCTCTGCCCCAGGCGGCAGCAAAACCCAGGAGGAGCCCAGGCCCAGTCCACTAAACCTGCTCCCAGCCCGGCTGCCGTTGCTATGGAAACGGCGGGAACTAACAACTCGGGTCCCAGCGGAGTGAGCGGGGGCCCTCGGAGGCGCTGGCAGAGGCAGAGCAGTGTGAGTGACGGGCCGCGCCTCCGAGGTCACTGCAGAGCCAGCGGAGCCCCCGCCCCGCTCGGTGTCCCACCCCCACGGGACCTCAGCGTCGCTAGGGACAACCCCACCCCCCAGCCCTGCCT